CCACAAGTCTTAAAGTTGCCAAGGTTGGACACCCCTGTTCTAAACATATAGTGTAATTTTCAGCAACTGTAACTTGGTGCCCTCTATAATATCCTTTGGATTACAATTCCCAACACCGTTGATGGTTAACTCTGCAGTTTAAGACTTTGATCACCAAATCGTCTGGAAGACCTCATTTTACTTATTTGCAGTCTTCGCAATGCCTGAATTCACATATTGTGTGGTTAAGGCACCAGGTGGAAAACAGGAGACCCATCCTCGCCCCCCCCCCCACCCCCCACCTCGAGGCATAAAAAGCTTGCTGGGTGACTTTGGGCCAGTCACTCACTCTCCATCCAACTCACCTCGCAGGGTTGTTATTGTGGGGAAAACAGAAGAAGGAAGGAGTACTAGGCATATTTGCCACCTTGAGTTATTTATTAAAAAAACAGTAAATAAGGATAAGAATCCGACGAATAAATAAATAAATAATAACATAGGTTGCTTAACCTAAGAACCGCGGTGGCACAATGGTTAGAATGCAGCATTGCAGGCTACTTCTGCTGACTGCCGGCTGCCAGTTCGAGCATCACCAGGCTCAAGGTTGACTCAGCCTTCCATCCTTCCGAGGTCAGTAAAATGAGGACCCAGATTGTTGGGGGGCAATAGGCTGGCTCTGCAAACCGCTTAGAGAGGTCTGTAAAGCACTGCAAAGCGGTATATAAGTCTGAGTGCTATTGTTATTGCTTGGCTTGCCCCAATCTTGCTGGGTGAAACAAGTCATCGTGATTTGTGAGTCGTGGGTTACTTTTGTGCAAACTCAGTGTTATTCAATGAGCCAGGGCTATATGAGCCAGGGCTTCCACTTCGTGACTTCCACATCAGAGTCCCTGGGCATCTTGATCACAAAAAATGTAATTCTGCATAAAACGAACAAGTGCCTAATGATACACAGAAATGCTAGCTATTCATATGCAGCTGCAGCTTACCCAAAAAGCTTCATTCTGCCTTTGGAAGACGCAGTCATAGTCCCATCCTCCTCAATGGTGTATTCAGCTGAGATATTATCCTGTAAAAACAATCCTTCTGGGTCTTTCTTGGCCAGAGCATACCATTTACCTGCATACTAAAATACACACATACAAAAAAAATAGGTAAGGACAGTGAATACATCTTCACAATGAACACTGCACAAGACATGACTAAAGTTAAAGTATTAACTGGATCTGAAGAAAAGATGGAGATACTCTTGCAAACTGATTGCCTATGAGTCCTTAATTTAAACACAGATCTTAAACCGTTGACTAATTTGGATACAGTGAACCCCACTACTCTCTCCTGAATCTGTCTGAATAGTTGGAAGTTGGGTCTAGTGATTAAGGTGCCAGTCTAGAAACCAGGAGACTGAATTCCACTCCTACCTCAGCATAAAAGCCAGTTGGGTGACTTTGGGCCAGTACAACTCTTGGCCCAACACACCTCCCAGGATTGTTGTTGTGGGGACAATAGGAGGAGGGAAGGATATTAGAAATTTGTTTGCTGCCTTGAGTTATTTATAAAAACATATACTTTATAAAGGTAGAATATAAATACATGGAGATTAATAAAAGCTGAAAGCTATTCAAACAGAAGAATCAAGTAACAATCTATTTCTTACAATAAAAATTAGCTGCAGCTAATGAAGGGAATCAGGGCCCTTTTCTCCCCCGTGACCCATGTAACTCATGTTGCTCCCTTATCCGTTCCTCCCTGCGTGCCCTAGGATGAAGAGGGGGCAGACCTGGGTCTTATTCTGAATGCCCAGCTGGACTGTGCCTTCCCCAGTTTCCTCCGCAGCCACTGGAGCAACACTCCCACTCCCTGTCAGCTGCTCGACCTCCCCCTCAGAATCAGATTCCAAGAGGGGCATGACACACATTAAGAAAATCATTGATATAAAGGACCAATTAATAATGGAAACAAACTGTTGAAGAAATACAGTTCTTGTTTTCCTCATGGGAGGTGATCCACCAGACACTGAATTGGGGAATTTGTACCCATATAGATTTATTGAATTATGTCTCCCATCATACCTCACTATTGGCATATGGGTTGGGGCTGCTGAGAATATAATTCAGCAAGAACTGGACAGACACAGATTAACCAATCTGTCATTTATTTACGTGAGACACTTTGTCCCAGTGTTTTGGATTCAATGGCCCAAAGCCCCCCTGCACTTCTTAGGTTTTGCTTGGAAGAGCCTCTGAGTTGACAGCTGCTTCTTTGGGCTGGGAAATTAAATCGAGTCAGGCATACTTAAAACTTAAATAGGAACCACCGAGAAATATTAAAGAGTGTGGAATAGACTGGGAAGTTAATCTGGGTCCAGGCTAACCGAGGAACCATCCCACCCCAATAGGACTGGCCTTCAAAAAAAGGCATGCTGTGGACCTCATCAGTCAAGGAATTTTGACTGGTGAGACCCAGAGGAGAAGAGCCTGGGTCATGGTTCCTTCCCTTTGAAACATTGTACCCTCACCTCCCCAAGGTGAGATCCATACCCACCCTTCTGACCTTCTTTAAGGATCTGAAGACCTGCCAGTTGGCCTGGGGGGGTCCAACAGGGTGCATTACACTGGAATTGGTTGACAGGTTAAGAGAAGACCCCCACCTCTCCTTATGTGTAGCACTCCCTCTTCCTCCTCAACCTTTAATTGTAAATTATTATTGTTATTTATTGTGTAATGTTTTACCGACTTTTAATGTTTGTAAGCCATCCAGAGTTGCCTCAAGGCGAGATAGGCAGCACAAAAATCATGGAGGAATGGAATGGAATGGAATGGAATGGAGTGGAGTGGAGTCGAGTCGAGTCGAGTCGAGTCGAGTCGAGTCGAGTCGAGTCGAGGAGTGAGTGAATAAATGAATGAATAATTTTCAAAAAAACAACACAACCAAACAACCAAGAGAAAGCAATGTGACACTGCTCTCATATTATTGTCAAAAAAAACAATATGGACCCTGACTGCTATGAAATCAGCAAGAGTAGAGCTGGATTTGAAGGAGATTTTAGGTTGTTTTGCCTGCCTTGGTGATCACTCTCCTTCCTAAATTAGCTGCAGGAGGGGCATGAAACAGATACAGCAGATCATTTCTCACCCCATCCCAGATACTGTACAGCATACGTATTTCCTGAGCCAAAACTATAAAACGAAGAGGAATAAGACTGACTTCCAAATACTGTGGGTTCCCAGGAGCAAAGTAAGTTGAGATTTAAAAAAACAAAATCAAAACTGACTCTGCTAAGAGTGACACATTTTAGACACCAAGTCCGGTTCATGCACACAAAGTTATGTGGACTTCAACTAATGATTTTAATTCAATCCACATGCTCTTTGCCCTTGATATTAGAAAGTGTTCGTAGTTACCCGTTTGGGGTCAAAGTCTTCCTTCACAGTAAATGAATCCACCACACATGAAGTCTGTCCCATGCAATCATTAATCATGAAGATCAGGGTCATCAGGAGGGTATAGTGATTGTATTTCATTCTGTAAAAGCAACAGAATTCAGCCCAGATTAAAAAGACAGCTATATCCACCATAATGTCTCGTTTTTATTTACTTGGTTACCGGCATTCATCTTCTAGTACAGAGGTCTCCAAACTTGGCAACTTTAAGACTTGTGGATTTCAACTCCCAGAATTCTCCAGCCAGCTGATCAAATCCTAACCCTAACCCAGCTGGCTGGATAATTCTGGAGTTGAAGTCCACAAGTCTTAAAGTTGCCAAGTTTGGGGAGCCCTGTTCTAGTATTTCACTACTAAAGATTCTTCCCTCACTTTGAGTTCAAAGTCAGGGCATACATTCCTACTACAAGTAATCTCTGAGATATGGTCACAAGTGAATAAACTGGAGTTGAATCTGAGGTCAAGTCACAGAACAAGATGGGCATTAAGCAACTCAAAAGGCCAAATAATTAGACTGAGTGTTCCTAACTAATGACCCAATTAAAGAACCTTTCAATCAATCCCTCTAGCTCAGACTTTCAAAACATTTTGGGAGGGTTGCCCTTGAAGGGATATGATAATAACCACCATAAAACCAAAAGAAAAAAAAAAAGGCAAAGTCAGCACAAAATTGTGACTGTGAGAAGGGCAAATGCAATATTTAATATAAAGGGAAATTAAAGCCTGATTGAAGAAAGACTATATTAGCTCAATTAATATGATAAATTGATTATTAATTAATAATTATCTATGCATGTAATAATGTCCCCCTTGGGCCACATTCAATAGTATAACATGGCAGCAACTTTCAGGGGGTATACCCTATATATTTCTGGTTATTCAGCTCAACTTGATTGCAAGAACTATGATGAAAATGATTGAGGGGCTATAATGAGAGGGCTATATTTTTTAGGGCTATAATGAGAGAACAAAGCCTTTTTAGGGCTATAATGAGACCTTGTAAATCATAGGTTGTCCTAAACATACCTCTGACATTAATTACTTCCCCTTGTGGTGGAATACTTCACCTGGACCATTAACATCCCCCCCCCAACTTTCCATATGCATACATTAAATATGCACTGATAGAGTAAATCCTTTTGCCATTGTCCATGCTCTTCTCTTACAGTTCCCCTTTGAATAATTTTATGGCTGCAATCTTATTCTTTCTTTTGTATCCATTGAAGCTTTTTCTAACTTAGCTTTTCCAAAGAGGCCTGCTACCCTCTACCATCCCAGAATTGTAATTGTTGAGATTGATGGTTGCTGAAATACCAGCGTAGAGAATTGCTTGAATGCAAAAGACAGCAGGTTATTATCTCCCCAGTTAATATCTGCTTATGATCACAGATGTCATTTATCTTTTGGGCTTTCTAAAGCAAAATGGTGCCAGTCTTCCCTGGATCTGATTAATTTACATCTGCTTCCAAATCACCTGTTCCTTTCTCCAATGTGGTTGTTTCCGACACCTTCGCAGCCTATTCACTCAAAAGACAACTCTGAGATTTTAAAACTCACCGTTAATCAATATTCATTGTCTCAAGAGTTAAAACAAAACAGCGAGAAAAGGCCTGTTTTTCAAAAGACCTGTTGAACCACAGCACTTCAAACTGATGGAGAGGGATCGCTTGTCAAATGCAACGTCTTGCAAAATTATCAGTCCTGTGCATCCCAAACTACTAATTAGCTAATTACTTATGAATCTAGATCAGGAAGTGATATTGCAATCAACATTTGGGATGCTCTCTTTTAAGTGATTCTCAGAGGGCTCCATTAAACTAGATAAGGTATCACATAACTTTTCTTGGGTTGCCTCTGACTTTTTGCAATGGTTTATTGAAAATGAGAATAGCAGTGCCTTTTGGTTGGTTTTGATCTCTGAGCAAGGTCTAGTTTCTGGCCCTCCTAGTTGCAAAGACTAAATGTGTGTGTTTTCTTGTGTTATGTGATGTTGTGAAGTAACAAATCAATCAGTCTGCCCCGCTGAAAGCCTACTTTACACATAAGACACAATGTTCTTAAATCTATTGTCCAAATGGGGGAGAATTCACACACAGCTCTCCCAAAACTAGAGTTCCTATATGTTGCTTCAAATGATAAAGTTTTTTTTAAAAAAGATTTTAGTTCTCTCACAACTGAAACTTTACAGAAAGCAAAATCTAAAGCCTCACTTCAGTTGTTATCTAAACCAGCGGTTGCCAATCGGTGGGCCGTGGCCCACTGGTGGTCCACAAGAAAATTTTGGTGGTCCACAGAGAAATGTCACCCCCAGAGCACCCCCCAAAGCAATTGATCCAGGCTGCGCAGGAACACAAGGCTGCACCGCCCACATGGCCCACAGAATGTGGCTGCCTTGGAGGGGGTGGGGGTGTGTGAGGGACCTCTGTGTGTGTGTGAGAGAGAGAGAGAGAGAGGGAGAGAGAGAGGGAGAGAGAGAGAACATCACCACCAGCCCTCCGAGGTTAGATCAGATCTCTCTCTCTCCCCCTCCCACTGAGAATGGAGCTGAAAAGCAGGTTAGGAATGTGGCTGTCTTGGAGGGGGTGGGGGTGAGGGACCACTGTGTGTGTGTGTGTGTGAGAGAGAGAGAGAGAGAGACAGAGACAGAGACAGAGAGACAGAGAGAGATCTAACCTTGGAGGGCTGGTGGTGATGTTCTCTCTCTCTCTCTCTCTCTCTCTCTCCAACATCAGTAAGCCACCCCATCAGTCAAAATTCATATTAGTGGTCCGTGAGATTTAAAATTATGAGTTTGGTGGTCCCTGAGGTCCAAAAGGTTGGCAACCCCTGATCTAGACTACAACATGCAATCTCCTTCTTTAGATGTTACCACCAGTATTACAGTAACTCCCAGCAGACTTTCCATCTATCCAGTCTTGAAAACATTTAGGATTGCAAAATAATATGAAGTCCTCCGGATCAATGTTTCCAACTTTGAGATGTCTGGACTTCAACTCCCGGCATTCCTTAGCCAGCATACTGGCTGGGGAATTCTGGGAGTTTGCCTATACAACTTAAAGTTGCCAAGGTTGAAAAAGCCCATTCAGCAAGGGTCAAGGTGATGATATAAGCAGATGGTGGCTTCTTACCCAACAATTTATTAAAAGCAGAGAATAACCCCTACCTGAACTTGGCTAATCTTGAAAAAGTTAAGCAGGCTCAGAGCTAATTAATAGCTGGATGTGAGACTGCTAGGAAATTTGAGGTCTGTAGGCTAAGAAGATGAAAAAAAAGATAACTTTGAAGAAAGTAATAGAAAACCACTTCTATAATAAGAAATCCTAAGAAACTCCCCCTGGATGTGTTCATAAAATCATCATGAATTGAGCTCATTTTTGAGCTCAACTCACGATGATTATTATTTTTTTGGCATAATAATTCAGTTCCTTTAATATTTTACTGAGACAATCTTGGGCCATCTTGCAAAATTATCAGCACTGTTCATCCCAAACTACTAATTAGCTAATTACTTATGAATCTAGATCAGGAAGTGTACCATATTGCAATCGACATTTGGGATGCTGTCTTATAAATGATTCTCAGAGGGGTCCCTTAAGGTATCATGTAACTTTTCTTGAGTTGCCTCTGACTTTTTGCAATGGTTTATTGAAAATGAGAATAGCAGTGCCTTTTGGTTGGTTTTGATCTCTGAGCAAGGTCTAGTTTCCGGCCCTCCTAGTTGCAAAGACTAAATGTGTGTGTTTTCTCATGTTATGTGATGTTGTGAAGTAATAAATCAAACAGTCTGCCCTGCTGAAAGCCTACTTGACACATAAGATGCAATGTTCTTAAATCTATTGTCCAAATGGGGGAAAATTCACACACAGCTTTCCCAAAACTAGAGTTCCTATATGTTGCACACTGGAAGTCCTGACTCTATCTGCAGTATTTATCTGCTTAGAATGAACTGATTTAAGCTGGCGAGATCTTTCTTTTCTAATAAGGTTTGACGTCTTTGTTATCCCCAGAATAGCTGAAAACCTTCATGGGCCTACATATGTTCTAGGCCTAACTCATGAAACAGAGAACAAAACTCTTTTAGGCATTTATCCACCAATCCAGCTATCTGATCCCTGTCTCATGAAAGCAATAAAGAGAGACCTCTTTAAGATTACATTAATATCTGCTAACAAGGAACATGGCATTTCTTTCAAATAACTGAATAAGCAAACAAAAACAGACTTTCTAAACAAACTTTCTGAAAAACCTACCTTGATATCTTGTTGGAGCTTCTCAAATTCATTGCAAATAATTCTGGCTCTTGTAGCACTATAGATGACTCGGCTGTTCCTTGCCTTTAAATAAGGAAGCTTGCAAAGACTCTAATTGGATGTTTATCTTTTGAATCTGAATAAGGTGCTTAACTGTGAATTATCCATTATGTAAAAACCACCATCTGTAATCTTTGTACTGGACTGTCCACCTTCAATTCTCAATCCACACATCTTTTACGTAACAGAAGATACCATCCCAACCCCAAAACCTTTAGAACCAAAAAAATATTTGTCATTTCAGCCTGTATGAAACATTCAGCCAGTTAAATGTGCAGAAGTCAATTTTAAAACTGCACCACAAGATCTGGGTTAGGTTAAACATATTTTTTCCAGCTAAGCCCAGGCCCACTTAGCTTTTGCAAAATATTTTAATACCAATGAGGTTCTTTATGCCATTTTAATCCCTTCTTGCCAAAAGCAATACAGAAATTCTTTGCTCACAAAAATCTTACCAACCAAGGACAAGAGCGTCTTGTTTTTCTTTTCATAATAGTTTTACTTTCTATTTTCCATATTTTTCTTCTCTTTTGCACCTTTGCCTTTCTTTCTGTTCTTCTTTCTATTAATTTGCATTAGATTTTAGTACTCTAATTAAGATCCTGAATAAACATTATATATATTTATTATAATGAATACAGGTAGTCCTCAACTTATGACCACAATTGAGCCCAAAATTTATGCTGCTAAGTGAGAAATTTGTTGAGTGAGTTTTGTCCCACGTTACAACTTTTCTTGTCACATTTGTTAAGTGAATCATGGCACATTGAATCATTGCAGTTGTTAAGTTAGTAACATAGTTGTTAAATGAATCTGACTTCCCCATTGACTTCGCTTGTTCAGATGGTCACAAAAGGTGATCACATGACCTTGGGACACTGCAACCATCATAAATGTGAGTCAGTTGTCAAGCATCCAATCACATGACCACGGGGATGCTGCCATGGTTATAAGTGTGAAAAATGGTCATAAGTCACTTTTTTCAGTGCTCTGTAACTGAAATTTCAAACTGTCACTAAGTGAACAGTTGTAAATTGAGGACTATCTGCATAAGAAATTCATTAGAATCAAATTATCTCAGAGAATAGATTATCCTACATTTATAGCTATTGCTGAGATTTATTGTTACTGCAGACCAAATCTCAACAGGAAACATAATGTTACTTCTTTATAACTGATTATCTTTAGTTAATTGTAGAAATGTAATAAACATCTCCTTATTCTATTCTCCAAAGCTGTTGGAGAAAGGAGATTCACACATGCTCCGTTTAAAAAAAATAAAATCCTGGTAACTTAATTATTCCTCTTTCATTTTCAGTGCCCATACCTAGAAGTAAGAATGGGCTACATAGGACTAAGTTACTCACTGATTATATTCCTTTCACACAGGATCAGCTCATAATGGACAACCAGATCCAGGCAATAGTAGGTCAGAAATGAGATGGACATTTGACAAGCAGGTAAAGTTAAATACTAAATTACTGTAATCCTTTTAGGATACCATGTCAAGTGATTGTGGGCTTTATGCCATGGATACTCCTGGTAGTAAACATCCCACAATAAAATACTTTACTTTGCTAATGTTTTTATAAGTGATACCATTGATTGATTTGTATAAATTCATGTTTTCAATCCACTACTAGTTTTAGCCCATTTTCAAAATTTTGTATTGTCTCAGATTAAAATGAGATGTATCTTTTTCTGTTACCTTTTATAACATTTTTGATGTCTGCCCATTTTGTAAGTTAAAATAGCAGTAGGGGGAAAGTACGTTTTTTTTCCATTTAGCTGTGAAATATAACATGGTATTCCAAGCTCTGATTTGATAAAATATAGATTGCTTTGAAAACCAAAGTTAAATTTTTTGCATTTTCAATAAAAATGCTGGCAGTTATAAACTCGGCGGAATAATCTGGGGATTGATTGAGAATTCTGTAGTTATGAAATAATGGTGCCAGTGTTTAAAAAATAGCATTCTTGTAATTTTACACACTTTTTTGATGGAGTATTGTTTTGTTATACAATTTTGACTTAAAATTCTTACTTCAATTTTGCATTTGTTTATGTATAACCTCAGGAGAATATTGAACATCTGATCACGTCAGAATTTTGTCTCTTCATGTAATAAGTTGATGGAATGATAACAAGAGCTTTGAGCAACATGCCCTATATAATCATGATAGGGTAAGAAATAAATATATACCGGAATATGCAAAACATGCTTTTCCCCATGTAACTGGTCACAATAAAAAAATGTTCTTAACCAATTTGTATTTGCTCAGCTTTTGCTATGTACAATATTCTACTGAGTTGTATAAATTTGCCAGTTTTGGAAGGATGAGAATTAAAATACCATTTCTGTGGCATGAAGTACGTCTAGGTGAAAAATAATTTAGGATGCTTCTGAGACCACTAAGTATACTCAAGTTGATCTGCAAGGAATTTACATGTATGACTTCATTGGCTAGTAGTAAGTTGAATTTGCAAATACTTTAATACAGAGGAGAGTACTCTTATCTAAGCAGGTAAAGTTAAATACATTCTAGTCATTCAACAGTTGAAAAACAAAATCATGAGGATATGAAGGTTTTATTGTAATCAAGATTATAGGCATTCACCTTTAATGATTTTCTATGATTCTTGACTCTTGACAAATGTATCTTTTCTTTTATGTACACTTAGAGCATATGCACCAAGACAAATTCTTTGTGTGTCCAATCACACTTGGCCAATAAAGTATTCTATTCTATTCTATTCTATTCTATTCTATTCTATTCTATTCTATTCTATTCTATTCCATTCCATTCCATTCCATTCCATTCCATTCCATTCTATTCTATTCTATTCCATTCCATTCCATTCCATTCCAGTCAAAGGAATCTCACTCCTATCCCACTGCATTTTCTTCACAAAGTGGGTATGATCAAACTGAAATTTGGCTTGCTATATTAACCTGTTGGGGATTTAATGCATGGAGATGTATTAAAAGTTGCCTACAAGAAAAAATGCCTTGTAAAGTTGTCCTTGGGCATAGGATTGACATTGTCCTGTTTTTCTGGGATGTGGTGGGTCTTCAAATTCTTGATACAACTTTTCAATCAGAAATGATACTATAGGAGAAGAGCAGGCTGAGCCCGAGAGAGGAGTCAAGTGTGTCATCAGTCTCAAGTTCCTTCATGCCCACAGGAGATCTAAGTCTATCCCACCTTGAATTCTTATCTACCACCAAATGGATTTGACTGTTAGTAGTTCAGATTCTCGTAGAGAGTGTTGGCATGCAATAAACCTGAACTCATTTGAACTGCCTTGACTCTGGATTTCCTGCACTTGACAGATAGTGGATTAATCGATACACAGCCATCTAGGTTCTTCTGTCTTCATTGCTTGCTGTCTGCAAGAGATTCATAGCAGACAGTCATCCCTTGTAATATCTTATTTGATCCTAGCCTTCCTCAACTGGTCCAAACACTAGGGTCAGGGGCTCACACCATCAGATTTCTAAAATTTCCCAGGGATTGCTTTTTCTTGCTCTTTCTTCCTCTTCACCTCCTGTCTCCCAGGAAGCAAGGTTGAAAAGAGAATTTTGTCCTGTAGAGCAGGGTCACTGGTCCATGGACTGGCACTGGTTTGCAGCATGCCAACAGCTGGGCCACGCATATAAGTGAAGCCCCATCAATGGGATGCACACAAAACCACACCCCCTACTGTCCACAGAAAAGCCTCTCCCTACAGAAGCGGACCCTGGTGGCCAGAAAGTTGGGAGGCATTCCTATAGAGAGTTATGTGGCTTGGATCCAGTGGAAGAGAGAAGAGAATGGGAAAAAAGGAGTGGTAGCAGAAAGGAAAAGTAAACCTCTTGAGGGCATCTTGCCCAAGAACACCTTACCAGAGGTGGTATTCAATAAGTTCTGACCAGTTCTGGAGAACTGGTAACTGTCAAACAGACAACAAATGGTCAAAATTGGGAGCATCCTATCAAATTCTGTACCTGTCAATAGTGGTGTCCCCCAAGGCAGTGTTCTAGGACCAACTCTTTTCATACTCTACATGAATGACCTCTGTGATCATATCAAGAGCAACTGCATCCTCTTCGTTGATGATGTAAAGCTATTCAACACCACAGACAATACTGCTACCCTTCAAAAAGACCTTGACTATGTATCAGAATGGTCAAACAAATGGCAACTTCAAATCTCAACATATAAATGCTCTGTCCTACATATTGGCAAAAAAAATCAGAAAATAAAATACAGGCTGAATAGTCAAGACCTTGTTGATGATCCAAACTCTGTCAAGGACCTTGGAATACTCATCTCAAATGACCTAAGTGCTAGAGCCCACTGTAACTACATAACCAAAAAGGCGTTAAGAGTTGTTAACCTAATCTTACGTAGCTTTTTCTCTGGTAATATTACACTAATAACTAGAGCATATGAAACATTTGCTAGACCAATACTCGAATACAGCTCATCAGTCTGGAACCCACATTATGTATCTGATATTAACACAGTTGAGAAAGTCCAGAAATATTTCACAAGAAGAGTTCTCCACTCCTCTACTCGTTGCAGAATACCTTATGCCACCAGACTCGAAATTCTAGACCTAGAAAACCTAGAACTACGCCGCCTTAGGTCCGATCTAAGTATAGTATATAAAATCATACATTGCAATGTCCTACCTGTCAATGAATACTTCAGCTTCAACCATAACAACACAAGAACAAACAACAGATACAAACTCAAGGTTAATCGCACCAAACTTGTTGCAGGAAATACAACTTCAGCAACAGAGTGATCTATGTCTGGAATACTCTACCTGACTCTGTGGTTTTTTCCCCAAACCCCAAAAACTTTAACCTTAGACTGTCTACTATTGAACTCACCCCTTTCCTAAGAGGTCTGTAGGGGGCGTACATAAGCGCACCAACGTGCCTACCGTCCCTGTCCTATTGTTTCTTTTATACTTTTTTTATCTTTTTATTTTTCTTATATGTATCCATGTATTC